TACACATCAGGATCGCGGAGAAAATACAAGCTTCGTTCGCGTTGAATATATATATCAAGGCACAAATTCATCTTTCATAAACTTTTTGTGTCTTGGTGCTTAATATATCCACATATCAACGAAAATATGTAATACATGTATCCACAAAAATATACATGTACAGGCTAGGTATTTGCCCACAGCAACACCTGCATAACTGTTTATTCACGCGTGGTGTGGCAGATTGTAATTGACCGACAACAAGTATTGTAGAATCACCTGTAAATAAGGCCGACACTGTAATTAGACACAACGTACTAATGAGAATATGAGAATTATCATAAGAAGGCTGTTACGTTTTTCTTAACTATTACCATTTTCATACCAAAAGTGACAATGCAGGTAAAAGTTGTTTTAGTGTCACAATATTCACTCACGTTTTCCTCAATCGCATTGAAACATAATTCCTACTGGTCAGTTCGACACTGCTTGTAATTAAATAATTATTTCGAGATTTCGTTAGAATGTAAGATATTCAGCCAAACGTTATGCAATAAAAGACGAATAGTTTCTTTCCATTAAAATACGCGCACGCGTACCTGTCACGTAATTGCACAGTGGGATGTATCAACGGGTCATAAAATGGGAAATGAAATAGAAACTAACTAAAATTTAATGTTGTACACGCACATGAATTCGTATGATAAACTGCCAAAACGTTTTAAGAGATAAGGCCGGGTTCATTAAAGATGTTGGGTGCGGTTAGGACCAAACTTTTTCAGCTCAGAGTGTTAGTGGTCCTGGAACCCATAGTGTCAAACAGGTTCTGCACAATACGTCAATCAGATTCTACTGTTCAACAGCATTGTCACTGAATTTCAGAACTCTGGCATGATATAATAATCAAGGATTTCGAAGGCAAAACCTTTCTCGCCCATGGGCGAAATATTTCAATAAATCTGTAAAATAGCTGAATTGAGTAAAATTGAGTTACATTATGTGCCATGAAAATAGTAAGAACACCTGCATGTATTTGAGAAACAAAAACATAAGTTTTAAGTAAAGGAAAATATTCTCGCCCATGGGCCAAACCCTTTTCTCGCCCATGGGCGAAATATTTCAATATCGCTATAAAATCGTTGAATTAAGTTAAAATGAGTGAAATTTTGTGTCATGATACTTAAATAAATACATTTAATGTATTCGAGAAACAAAAACATGAGTTTTAAGTAAAGGAACATATTCTCGCCCATGGGCCAGACCTTTTTCTCGCCCATGGGCGAAATATTTCAATATCGCTATAAAATCGTTGAATTAAGTTAAAATGAGTTAAATTTTGTGTCATGATACTTCAATAAATACATTTAATGTATTTGCGAAACAAAATCATGAGTTTTAAGTACAGGAACATATTCTCGCCCATGGGCCAAACCTTTTTCTCGCCCATGGGCGAAATATTTCAATATCGTTATAAAATCGTTGAATTAAGTTAAAATGAATTAAATTTTGTGTCATGATACTTGAATGAATACATTAAATGTATTTGCGAAACAAAAACATGAGTTTTAAGTAAAGGAACATATTCTCGCCCATGGGCCTGCCCATGGGCCTACCCATGGGCCAGACTTCGCCCATGGGCAGGCCCATGGGCCACACTTCGCCCATGGGCAGGCCCATGGGCGACATAGTCTAAATATTGAGTTTTTAAACATTTTTTTTTTCATTTTTTCTTCCTTGGTATGTTCCCATGAAAACGGCATGTTTAATTTTGTAAATACCTTTAACCGAGACTGGGCAAAGAGCGTAGAGTTTCTGGACTTTTGGGTTTCCAGAATTAAAATGGGACGTGTTCAGTCAAAAACACTCATCTCATGTCAGCCAAACACGACTAAGTTTAAACAGAGACCATATAATAGATCTCTGGTTTAAAGTAAACAAATGCAATCTTAAAAACGGACTTAAGTTTGTTTGGACCAGTAAAACCACATCATTTATAGTACATATTTATCTACAACTGTTTTAATCGTAGAATACTTGTTTGTGTTTATTTTCGGCTTATATTGCCAAAATCGTCAGCAGTAAGGAGGACGGTGTAAATCTTGCCGGGGTACCATCCAGGTCGCAGAGGTACCGTAAGTCCCCATGGTTCATAGTATAGTAATCTACCTTTTGGTTGCTGGCCATCAATAGAGCGAATTGTATGTTGTGTCCTTGTCTATAAGCATCTTTAAGTATTTCCAAGCAGTTATTGATGTAATTCCGCGACGTGTGACTGGTTAAGGAAGAGAATTTATGGATGTCAACGTCTTTATCGGGACATCCATAAATTCTCTTCCTTATGTGTATCACTTCTAAATGTCATTCAAAAACTTGATGTTACTGGTTGTGTTACTGTCGTTTGGTGACGGAATTTTATATGATATAAAGTCTATAAATGATCTAGTCATAATGTCTAGGATACTGCTGATGCGACTTTACGTTTTAAATCACTAACAACCGAACCCGAGAACACGAGTCCTCTCTGTGCTGTGACCTTCACTGGACTGGTCTTTGCCTCCAAATCGTGTTATAGACGATATTTTACCAACGCTTCATTGAGGTCAATCAGGTGTGTGGGAGAGTAACAATGAGGCCATTTGTAACTCCAGGCCTGGTGGGCATGCTCTAAGTGCATACAAACACACAGTCAATAAATGTCAATGTTGTTGAAAAAGATGGGTCTTTAGTCGGGATTTGAAGACGGTTATTGAAGGGGCGCATCCGAGGCGTAGCGGAAAAGAGTTCCATAACACCGCAACAGTGTTGCAAATATCCAGCACGTGAAGTTCCTGGGTCGAACAGGTCTTCAGCAACCCATTGTTGCCGTAACTGGCGACTATGCTTGTCGTAAGAGGCGACTAACGGGATCGGGTGGTCAAGCTCGCTGACATGATTGATGCATGTCATCGATCCCACTTTGCGTGGATCGACGCTCATGATGTCAATCACTGGATTGTCTGGTTATTTACAGACCGCCGTCATATAGCTGGAATATTGTTGAGTGCGGCGTTAAAAACAAACAGGCAAACAAACAAAAACAAAATCTGGCACCAAATGTCTTTAATTTGAAGGGAGATATACTGTTAGGCTTCTCGAGGGTAGATAGGTACACAGTAGTGATACCTTGAAGGTAAGGAGTGGAGATCGTGTGCACTGGTATGCAGGATATAGGGTTTTGAACTGTATCCTCTCCTGAGATTTCAGGCCGTACGAGGCCTAGTTTTAGCGACAATCATTGCAGTTGTGGAGGCGTTTATTCTCCCTGCAGTGTTTTATTGTACGAAAAACAACGACCACGAGTCGTTTATTTGTTATACGTACAGCCTCTTTAAACATGTTAGTAAAAAGTACACCCTTTAAAAATATTTAAATATTGTATTTAAATAATGATGACTACCTGAATAGAATCCGACCGCGGCAATGTCGGACGAGTCCATTTTATGAGCAGGATGTTAAATTTGACCTGTTTCGCATATTGTCACAAGTTTCAGGTCGAGTATCTTGTACCTTTTCTCCCAAAACCGATTGTCATATATCTCCTACTTTTGGAAGCGACCATTCGGCCATTGCGTTTATCTGCATAGTCCAGCTACATCTATGGCGGGGAGGTAGCCAAGTGGTTGAAGCGATCGCTCGTCACGCCGAAGGCCCCGGGTTCGATTCCCCACATGGGTAAAACCGTACTCATTCACTTTTGGGGGAACAACTCACTAGCCACTTCCCTCTCAAAATTAAGGTAGTCCAAAACATGACGCGGAATGACGTCATGCTAGAACAATGTTTTATCGTAAAATAAGCCACGCTTCGTTCTCCATTGCTCTTTGCGATTTGTCTCTCTTATATTATTTAATTTTTGTTGTTGTTGAGTTTTTTAAAATTATTTCAAGGTACATGATCACGACGGTCTGTAAATAATCAAGTCTCCTGTACATTCCACCAAGTTGTGTCTCCTTTCTGTTCCCCTCACTACGTGGTGTCTCCTTTCTGTTCCTCTCACCACGTGACGTCTCCTTTCTGTTCCCCTCACCACGTGGTGTCTCCTTTCTGTTCCCCCCACCACGTGGTGTCTCCTTTCTGTTCCCCTCACCACGTGGTGTCTCCTTTCTGTTCCCCTCACCACGTGGTGTCTCCTTTCTGTTCCCCTCACCACGTGGTGACTCCTTTCTGTTCCCCTCACCACGTGGTGTCTCCTTTCTGTTCCCCTCACCACGTGGTGTCTCCTGTATATTCCCCTCACCACGTGACGTCTTCTTTCTGTTCCCCTCACCACGTGACGTCTCCTTTCTGTTCCCCTCACCACGTGGTGTCTCCTTTCTGTTCCCCTAACTACGTGGTGTCTCCTTCCTGTTCCCCTCACCACGTGGTGTCTCCTTTCTGTTCCCCTCACCACGTGGGGTCTCCTTTCTGTTCCCCTCACTACGTGGTGTCTCCTTGCTGTTCCCATCACCACGTGGTGTCTCCTGTATATTCCCCTCACCACGTGTTGTTACCTTTCTGTTCCCCTCACCACATGGTGTCTCCTTTCTGTTCCCCTCACCACGTGGTGTCTCCTTTCTGTCCCCCTCACCACGTGGTGTCTCCTTTCTGTTCCCCTCACCACGTGACGTCTCCTTTCTGTTCCCCTCACCACGTGGTGTCTCCTTTCTGTTCCCCTTACCACGTGGTGTCTCCTTTCTGTTCCCCTCACCTCGTGGTGTCTCCTTTCTGTTCCCCTCACCACGCGACGTCTCCTTTCTGTTCCCCTCACCACGTGTTGTTTCCTTTCTGTTCCCCTCACCACGTGGTGTTTCCTTTCTGTTTCCCTTACCACGTGGCGTCTCTTTTCTGTTACTCTTACCATGTGGCGTCTCAAATACGTTCCCCTCACCAAGTGGTGTCTCCTGTATGTTCCCCTTACCACATGGTGTCTCCTTTCTGTTCACCTTACCAAGTGGTGTTTCCTTTCTGTTTCTCTTACCACGTGGTGTCTCTTTTCTGTTCCCCTAACCATGTGGTGTCCCCTGTACGTCGTCCTCACTAGGTGGTGTCTCCTGTATGTTCCCCTCACCACATGGTGTCTCCTTTCTGTTCACCTTACCATGTGGTGTTTCCTTTCTGTTTCTCTTACCACGTGGTGTCTCTTTTCTGTTCCCCTTACCACGTGGCGTCTCAAATACGTTCCCCTCACCACGTGGTGTCTCATGTATGTTCCCCTCACCACATGGTGTCTCCTTTCTGTTCACCTTACCATGCGGTGTCTCCTGTACGTACCCCTCACCGCATGGTGTCTCCTGTACGTTCCTCTCACTAGGTGGTGTCTCCTGTACGTTCCCTTCACCACGTGGTGTCTCCTGTACGTTCCCCTCACCGCATGGTGTCTCCTGTACGTTCCCTTCACCGCATGGTGTCTCCTGTACGTTCCTCTCACTAGGTGGTGTCTCCTGTACGTTCCTCTCACTAGGTGGTGTCTCCTGTACGTTCCCTTCACCACGTGGTGTCTCCTGTACGTTCCCCTCACCGCATGGTGTCTCCTGTACGTTCCCCTCACCGCATGGTGTCTCCTGTACGTTCCCTTCACCGCATGGTGTCTCCTGTACGTTCCCTTCACCGCATGGTGTCTCCTGTACGTTCCCTTCACCACATGGTGTCTCCTGTACGTTCCTCTCACTAGGTGGTGTCTCCTGTACGTTCCCTTCACCACGTGGTGTCTCCTGTACGTTCCCCTCACCGCATGGTGTCTCCTGTACGTTCCCTTCACCGCATGGTGTCTCCTGTACGTTCCTCTCACTAGGTGGTGTCTCCTGTACGTTCCCTTCACCACGTGGTGTCTCCTGTACGTTCCCTTCACCACATGGTGTCTCCTGTACGTTCCTCTCACTAGGTGGTGTCTCCTGTACGTTCCCCTCACCGCATGGTGTCTCCTGTACGTTCCCTTCACCGCATGGTGTCTCCTGTACGTTCCCTTCACCACGTGGTGTCTCCTGTACGTTCCCTTCACCACGTGGTGTCTCCTGTACGTTCCCTTCACCGCATGGTGTCTCCTGTACGTTCCCCTCACCGCATGGTGTCTCCTGTACGTTCCTCTCACTAGGTGGTGTCTCCTGTACGTTCCCTTCACCGCATGGTGTCTCCTGTACGTTCCTCTCACTAGGTGGTGTCTCCTGTACGTTCCCTTCACCGCATGGTGTCTCCTGTACGTTCCTCTCACTAGGTGGTGTCTCCTGTACGTTCCTCTCACTAGGTGGTGTCTCCTGTACGTTCCCCTCACCGCATGGTGTCTCCTGTACGTTCCCTTCACCGCATGGTGTCTCCTGTACGTTCCCCTCACCGCATGGTGTCTCCTGTACGTTCCCTTCACCGCATGGTGTCTCCTGTACGTTCCCTTCACCGCATGGTGTCTCCTGTACGTTCCCCTCACCGCATGGTGTCTCCTGTACGTTCCCTTCACCGCATGGTGTCTCCTGTACGTTCCCCTCACCGCATGGTGTCTCCTGTACGTTCCCTTCACCACGTGGTGTCTCCTGTACGTTCCCCTCACCGCATGGTGTTTCCTGTACGTTCCCTTCACCACATGGTGTCTCCTACGTAATCGAGTCTGGACCAGACAGTCCGTTGATTGATGTCATGAGCATTGATCCATCAATTCAGATAGATGACATTCAATCAACCCGTGAAGATCCGGGGTAGAATAGGTCTTCAGCAACCCATACTTGCCGTAAAAGGCGACTATACTTGTCGTAAGAGGCGACTAACGGGATCGGGTGGTCAGGCTGCTGATTTGGTTGATGCATGTCATCGTATCTCAATTGCGTGATCGATGCTCATGGATTGTCTGTTCCAGACTCGATAATTTACCGACCGCTGTCATATAGCTGAAATGCGGCGTTAAACGACAAAAAAAGAAGATTATGTTTGTCGAAAGCATTTAGATTATATAAATAATTGAATCAGGGCCAAGCAAACAAGTGGTTGATAGCATGAGCAATTTTCCACGCCATCCAGGTGCGTTGACACACTACCAGTCAGATATTGAGATCATTCGTTTCTTAATAATAGTGTTTCTTCTATTAATAGTCGGTTCTTACGACAAATGTCGGATGTTGGGAACCCTTTCAGACCCGTGGCTTAAAAACCACTTAAGTGTTTTAATCATATCCTCCGGGTTTTCGTCACTGGTTCCAGTAAAAAACACAGTCGTAGAATGTCCGTGTATATGACCGAGGTCTAACCTTATTTCAAAAACGCCATTCATAGGTAAACAAAATCTCCATGAAACAGACTGAAGTGTTTTGAGGAGTGAGTTGGACCAGAGTATGCGTACTCGTTGTAATAAGACTTTCAAGCCAGCCAGGGTCAATGAATATTTTAATGTACGAGATTTTACCAACGCTTCATTTACTATACTTGTTTGACTGCACGAGGTGTGTGTGAAGGCAAAAATGATCGAGCTGAGTGCGCATAGATTTTGCTAAGAACCACGAAGGGTAATTAATTTTAACGGTACACATCTGCAAAAGGACTTGGCAACCAAGTCAAATCTACTGGCGGTCGTACTGGTTGTATATGCAACAACAATATGTGTGCTATTTAAGGATTGTGTTTCTTAAAATTATGAAGTGATTTTGCTACTTTAATCTCTTTGCAAAGCCCTCCAAAGTGTCACCCGGTAATGATTAACGAAATTCCCTTGCTGATTAGTCTGTAGGTTTCAAGTTCTTAAAATAATATGTTCAGAAAACATAGCATATTTAAAGAAATACTGTCTTCTATTAGTGAAAGGGTGGGTACTGGGTATTTGGCAATAATTACATAATCGCGGTAACGCTGTTGTATCGCTACATGAAATAGGCCGTACATTATTGAATATTTATATAAAACCTTTCATGATGAAGTTTAACGAAAGAAAACAGAAACCTGATTCTTCTTTTGATGTTATTATAATTTATGTTTCTTTTTCTTGTTTCAACGTCGCCAACAAGTAATATCTTTTAACGTCTTTTGAAATGACGCGGCCGGGTGATCGAACCACCGACCTTCAGCGCTCCGGGCAAACGCTCTATCCACTGGACCACCGAGGCGATACAGTACAGAAACTTTTCCGTCGTACACTTCGTTAGTAACAGGACAGAGTTACGCTGTTAATATCTTTGGCTGCCTCTTCCTAAACAAATACAAAAATATTGATCTGATACAAGAAAGTCACATATAAGCGAATGTCGTAAAAAGTACGTGCGCGATGGAAGTGTATTACTGATATAAACTTAAAATCTTTTTCTTGTCATTGCATTAAGTAATATATGTTTGAATATTCTGCTTACCTTACAAGTTGAATAATACATGTTTAGATACTCAACTGTAAGGACCCCCCCAAAGGGCCCCCCCCACCCCGGACGATTAACACCAGGATCGTCCATATATAAAGGGACATTGTGACGGAACCAGAATTCGTTAACCCGGAAGATTCCACTGTTAACGGAAGCGTCCGGATTAACGAGGTTCCTCTGTATTTGTGTCTGTTATTCTTAGGTTATGGTTATGGAATCAGTTTGGTTTATGCCGTATGTAACACTACCCAGAGACCATGTCGGCTTATGGTCTCTGTACTTCCTTACTTAGAAACCCTTTTCCCTAAGTTACAGTGGAGGCGATTATTTTCCACTTACTTGGTTATTCCTAAAGTTCGTGAACGTATAGTCAAACGCTTTCCTTTCTCTGTCACGACGCGGAGAGACCTGTAATTAATAGAGGTGTTATTGATAGGAAACTGTAGTATCGATATATCGATTCAAAAGTATCATGGTATTGATTAATAATGAAATACATCATTCTAAATGAGTACTGAATGAGAAACTTTACCTATGCAGACCTACAATCAATCATTTTAATTGAATGTTAAATATGAACTTGGCTGATCATTAAAGGTTTTAAATCGAAAATAGACTGCTGTATATATGATATTCTCTGCTTTTTTAAATTGATTTTATACGCAATAAAAGGTTGTGCTGATAAGAAATGGACGTAATAACTAATATACGAACATGCACAGGTCGTCATTCTCCGAGTCGCTTGACATTTCCGTCATATCAATGTTCAGGTACCTATCAAAAATGGAGAGTGTCAAGATAATGTTATCTAGTGAGTCTTATATAAACTACGTCTCATCGACGTCTGAGAGAGAAGGGAAACTTAGAAATATTCGTTGTTTAAATATATGGAGAATTAGACATGTACATACCTCATATAGGATACAACTCTCCCTGAAATGACATCAAGTGCAAACATTCATAACTGTACGAAGAATAAAATATGTTCTTTTTTTTGTATGTCACTTTTCTAAAGGGAGAAAAATATCATTCCTAATCAAAAATGCCTCTGAATTAGGAGGCAGATATCTACAGTATTCGCAAAAAAACCTTTGTTCAGTTTAAGATTAACATAGAAAAATGAAAGAATCGAATGTACTTTCTACGGCACACGCTTCTTGCGCAAAAGTTGTCTGATCAGGGTTACAACATCCACGGCCTCAGGGAAGATTTCAGTCAGTGAGTGAGTATGGCTTTACGCCGCTTTTAGGAATATTCCAGCAATATCACGGCGGAGGACACCAAAAGTGGGCTTCACACATTGTACCCATGTCGGGAATCGAACCCGGGTCTTCGGCGTGACGAGCGAACGCTTTAACCACTAGGCTACCCCACCGCCCCAGTGAAGATTTCAAAAGGTTTGATTGCAGGCATGTGGAGGCGTGTCTTTTCAGTAAAAAAAACTATTCCCGTACATTTTTCAGTTGAACATTTGACTTCCCTTTACATGTGTTTCTGACGGATATCACCGGTGGGGAAGGATACGCTCACCTTTTCGCGAACACCTGGTATCGTTCCTATTTGATAGTGATTCATAGCACCACATTACTAATACAGTCGGAATTGTAGATAGCACGATCAGTTATTCACTTATTTGCACCTATATCAGTATTTATCTTCAAATAGCCAGGTATCTGATACCAATGTCTTTCAGTTTTTCATTCAGAGAAGCTACAGATTAATACTATTCGAGTATGAATAGTCATTGCATATACAATGTATTAAACTAAATGGAAAGTCACCAATCCATCCCCACCCCCACGGCCCACCCCACCCCACACCACATGTTCAGATGATGCAATAAAATCCATTCTGTCATTGACAACAAAAGAGATGAAATAAAAGTTGAAATCATTTTACTGAGTACAAGTATAACCATGTACAAAAGATAGAACTAATTTGTATTGTGGTACTAGCATTGATGTTGATCACATGTTCCTTTATTTCTTCTTAATATGGGCATACATACGTTTGACACACACATACAATAGAACTGCAAGCACAAGACCGATGATGACGCCAATGAAAATATCTGGAAATGAAACATGACGTATTTAACGCCAAATGCATTCAACAATCGTCGTAAAATTATACTAAGCTACAATTTAGTATTGTACATATTGGACCTCACGTAATATTCCGTTTCCATAGGAAAGGCGTAACGTCCTACATTCTGTCGATTGCTTTCATGACAATAAAGGCTAAAGGTTAGGCACCAGGCCCAGTTGTATGCTTGTGTTACTGGCAAGCAATAGGAGGTGGCTTTGGGTAAGAAAGTATTTGTATGTATGTATGTCCAGCGGTCAAGCACCATCAACAAAATCAACATTGCCATTGAGATCATGTCCCATACCCTTGGCGCGTTTAAGAAAACTGTGGAATGCTTTGTTTTCATCATGAGTCTTAACATGCTTCACAAGCGGATCATCAGACAAATAAATATGTGCACAAGTGACAATACAATCATGAAAAGCATCTACGTTAATCAAACCACGCCCCCATTTATAATTGTTAAATATAAGCGATTGAGGGAAGCGCGGGGGTGGTGGGATCTATTGTCTGACATGCCTCTTCGTGTGAGGGTGTCAATACACTGAATTTCTTCTTCCTTCCTCTCAATAACACTAAAAGTATACGAAAGGACGGGTACAGCTTAAATATTTGTGACTTTGACTTCATTGCGAACGTTCAGCTCAGAACTCCAGATGTTGTACATTTGTCTTCTGACAGATAGTTTTCTTTGATATGGGCATTCTGGAGTTTGCCTCTAACCTGCATCCCTATGTACGCATAGGCCTGACCTTCTACGAAATGGTCAAAAACTCAATCAGATAAACTGACCTCTCTTCTACCTTGTCACGTTTCAGATGAAGAATGTTGCATTTGACGAGCCCAGAGGACATGCCGATATCATTAGAAAGGTACTCCACGAGGAGACGCTGTTTCTTTAGTGTGGGTTCTCCTTTGGCAAGAAGTTCAAGGTCATCAATGTAAAGGAAGTGAGTAAGGGGTGTTGGGGATCTGTGCTGAGGAGGTCCCGGATGACAACTTTCCTCTTTGCTAAGCACAATGCTTAAAGGATTTAGTGACAAACAGAAATGCAAAGGACTAAAAGAGTCTTCCTGAAATATTCCATTTTAAGCAGAAATGGGTTCCGCAATCATCACATGCCCCTTCGAATACATCCCAAATTGAGTTGACCAGCAATTCATTAAAGACTTATGTAAAACCAATAGTCGATGGGGGAGGATAATGCATTTCAGTCATTTCAAAATCCATTATTATTATTATTATTATTATTATTATTATCATCAATACAAGGGTAATATACATTGCTTGATGGTTTGAGTTATGCAATGGGATTCTTGACATGCTATGAATGTAATAAATAATGAATGTAATCACAAATGTCTTTGCTTGCAGACATGTCATCTCGTAATAATTTCAGATCAAATATTTGTTTTCCATATAGCAGGCACCACTTGTAGTTCATCCACGTGTGCCTTTTGATGCGTGTAGTCAAATAGCTATAGCTAAATCTGTTTGTGTGGGTATTGTAGCACATGAGACATATTTGCGGCTGGTAACGTTGAAAAGTCGTTCTGACATGTATACTCACATAGGGGAATACTTGGGAGTTTGTCTTCACAGTAGGGCCCGTAAAATCCTTTCGGGCATTCCTCCTTCATATGTGATGTTTCTGAGAAAGGAACACGGCACATTACATGTCTGGTAATCATGATTTACGGCGTATCTATTCGCCCTCTTCCACTCATCCTTGACACGTTTATGCAATGAGACACCGTTAATTGTCTGTCTTTTCTCCAGTTTCTAATCATTAGTTTGGTAACGTTCCGCACATATTATGCAGGTAACGCATGCGGATAGTTTTACGAACATATAGAAGGAAGTAATTTTTTAATCGATTGGCTTCCCATCCAGATTGATCGATCGATGAATTAACTTGAATTTTTATTCTGGACAATTAAGGAAAGGGCTGACTTGTCACAATTCAATACTTTGTGTATAATTTCCCTGTTATATATATACAACTCATCTTTGGACTTTTGTGTGTGTATATATATATATATATATATACGTTTTTGTCCCCACCCCTTGCATCAATGTATTGGCGACAGACACATTTTTGTTATCCCCGACCCCATCCCCACTTCACCACCTGATTATCAAAATGGTCGGTCCCTAAAATGAACATTAAGAGCATAACAAATTGAAATCACCTGTCGTTGTTTCAGTACATTTCCCGCTTCTTCTGTCGCAGACGCCATTGTCACAAGTGGTTATGCAGGTCTGTGTACATTGGGGACCAAAGACTCCCCTTGCACATCCTCCAAAACAGTAGGCTGTGGTCTGATTGCAGCCTTCTCGGCAATGTGGTGAGCAGGATTCGCTGCACAGTCGACCATAAAAACTTTGTTTGCAGCTATGGTCACAGTACCCTTCCGCTTTGTGGCAGCCCGCATAACAGTTGTTTGGACATTCACCTGAGCAATCCTCCCCAAACCAACCTTCCTTACAGAACACGCAATGGTCGTCCAAACAATGGCGTTGTGAATTGTGCAGTCGGCGGCCATGAAGTACCTTCACTTTAGCCTCCCCACTATCGTCTCCTAGAAAGAACACACTGCCAATTTATGCTTAAGATACACCTATTTAATACAGTTTTAATTATTTATTATTTCATCAGTATTTAACAAATATTGTCAATAGTTGTGACTTTGGGCTCAAATACACATTTTGATACAGCCATTGTGTACATTTAAACATTTAAGGGGGCAAGCTGATGGTCTTGGATTTTCGTTCAAAACAGATTATGCTTTTTCATAATTTCCCATCCATACATTACACATAGTTGCATTGCCACCGTAAACTGGAAATTTCATCAAGTCAGAATTGACTGGTGAGGAAATGGCATTCCTGTGTGTAAACAATATGACGCAATTCCTGCCGACCTTGTACTGACCTTGTTTTAATGAATCTAATTGTAAACGTATTAGACATCAACATGTGATTTTGTTATTTGGGATCATCAAGGAAGGCTTCACCCATTAGCTTACCCATCCCCATTGCTAATGAGACAACAGTTATAAGGCAGCATACACTTGCGTCGTTGACGTGTATATGTACAATTAAGGGAGATAATTATTAAAAACCGATAGTATTCTTGCAGAAATTTAGACATTGCTTACAGAAGTAGTATTAGTACTGCAAGGAAACATACTCCCGAGATAGTGGACCTTTATTCGTTGAATGAATTCACGGTACAAATCTCCCGTAACCTTTCAGATCAATTGACAAGGAGCCTTATTTGGCATAAATATGCTGCTGCCACTACTACTACTCTTAGGACATGGCTGAATTTACGACGTTAAATTTAATTCGCTAATACTTCTGCTGCTGCTACTACTGGTATTTCTGCTAATACTACGACTACTGATACTACTACTGTAAGTATTGCTTCAGGAAGTTAGTTACCCTTTTTAACCACAAGGAACGTGCATTTCAATCCAGACCAGGGTTCCATGCATTTGCTACAGACTCCGGAGTATTTGTTGCATCTGATGCAGTTTCGTGGACAAAGGTTTTGACACGTTGATCCTCTCCATCCGTCCGTGCATACACCAGAGCACACTCTCGCCCCTATACTGTTGTCCAGGCTGCATTCCTTGCTTTTGCAGTTGAAGTTTGGACACAGTAAATGTGACGTTAAATTGAATTTATGTTCTTCCGCGGGAGTCATCTCCTGAATGAATATCACGTTTGATAACCGCAGCAAAAGGTAATATATGTTGAAGGTCATGCACACCCCGAAGAGAGACATCGTGACTGTAAATACAGAAGCATAGTGTACATCAGGTAGGGGAATAACGGGGAAAATGAAAACTTAATTTGTTCAGGCTATCTATTTTTCTGTGTGGGACAGAATATTGTTTCAGTCAGCGCTTCAAAACTTACAACAATTGATTCGATGAAACGAGAAGCCAGACTGTGTTTGGAGACCCAAATCACATTATATTTCAAATGGTCGGCCCTGAAAGAAATGTATTGTGTAAGTTGACATTGTGAAAAAGACAAGGCTTTGGTGTTGTCCTACATATTACAATCTTCGAATCTCCATCTAAGGGCCCACTCCAAACTGTCCAGGTCGTATTGCCGTCATGATGTGAAGGAAAAGAGAAACATAAATATGTTCTAATTGGTCTGTAGTTAAATTATTATGATATATTCAGCCGTAGAATATCATTGTAATACCCTTTGAACTTAAGCTTATTTATGAACATTGTTGTTTATAAATCCCTTACAAGTCATGTACAGGGCGATGTAATACACTGACTTTCAAGAAGTGAGTGAGTGAGTGAGTATGGTTTTACGCCGCTTTTAGCAATATTCCAGCAATATCACGGCGGGGGACACCAGAAATGGGCTTCACACATTGTACCCATGTCGAGAATCGAACCCGGGTCTTCGGCGTGACGAGCGAACGCTTTAACCTCTAAGCTACCCGACTGCCCCGACTTTCAAGAAACATATGTCAACATGACCGTCACGGTCAACACAACCTGAGATATCTAGTAAAGATGTTTCAGTAAATCCATGGCTATATATGAATGGCCACATATGACATGGTCTGTCAATGATCATTCGTATACTTTTCATCGCTATTTTGCCTTTTATGTCAACTGGTGTCTGTTTCGGCGGACGACCAAGACTGAATATTTATAAAGATCCTATACTACTCTACGTACTCATTAAACTCAGAGAACAACGTACGAATATATGTCCTGTCGTTGAAATGAAGCTGGCAGTGCAGCGAAAGGCCAATGGCAATATTTACAAAATTTGCTTTTCAAAATCCACATTCATTGCAAGGTTTATTTTCCTTCTGGCAGACATTTTGTGTGGTATCTTCAATTTTGGGTGCTGCCCTCGAGTATCCTTGATTCAAAGGGTATAGCTCATGATGAATCAAATCAAGCCCAGTGGACAGAAATATGAAATATGGACAGAATATGGTAACTTCGGTCGCTTCAGCTCACTCAAATGTTAATAATTCCCTTTTTCACTTACAATGTATCTGGTTTGGTGTCGACCGCCTACGTGGTCCAGTGGTAGAGCGTCCGTAATATAAGATTTCATAGACTAAATGTTAGTCAAGATCAGTCCCCAGAGTGAGTAGCTGTTTGCAGTCATACAAATCACACAAGTATTCTCAATGAAACATATCAATGTCTTCATCCTGCTTCTACATCTTCCTGGAAGGAATCATATTTATCCTTGACCTTTGTCCTCACAGCAAAGCAATTCTGTGTTTATGTTTACCACATTGGTGAAACTCCCAAACACTGTATGTTGCTCACTTACAAACAAGTGGACCGCCTCCGTGGTCTAATGAGTGAGTGAGTGAGTATGGTTTTACGCCGCTTTTAGCAATATTCCAGCAATATCACGGCGGGGACACCAGAAATGGGCTTCACACATTGTACCCATGTCGGGAATCGAACCCGGGTCTTCGGCGTGACGAGCGAACGCTTTAACCACTAGGCTACCCGACCGCCCCCGTGGTCTAATGGAAGAGCGTCCGCCCGGAGAGCGGAAGGTCCGGGGTACGATACAAAAAGACGTTAAAAGATGGTACTTGTTGCTACCCTGTCTGGCGCTCGGTATTAAGGGGCTAAAACAAGGACTGGTCGGCTCGGAGTCAGTATACTGTGTCTGAATGGGTTATTCATGTTACACTGCGGCATGGTATCTCAGTTGGCTAGCACAAAAATGGGCATTAGTCCGGACTAGTACAAGCAGCCACAGACATGCATGCACGTCGCTATATAAGTGCAATAATCTTGGAGGCGACGTTAAACCCCATGTGACTTCAACTCACCTCGTCTAGTGTCCCTTTACGGAAACGCGTACGATAGGGTTAACTGCGAGTTGCACACCGTAATATGCTCCTCTCCTCTGTTTGAACAGCACGGGCGCTAATCTAAACTACCGTAACGGTAATCCGGTGTTTTTATAGCAATTACTCATTTCTCGCTTTCGTAGGACAAATACCCCAACTTGGGTTTTCGCTTTACTGATACTAGGGAAAATTGGATTTTCGCTAACCAGGCACGACACCATGATAAACATCTCCTCAATGTCTTCCGTTTTGTTACAGCTATTCTAGGAGTAGCATTTATTGGAAGCTATGCTGACTTATTTGTATATGCTTAAAGGTTCTTTATTTCCTTTTGCTTCGGGGACCGACCATTTGATATGAGCCCTTGGATAAGAGAAATAGAGAAAAAATAGATTATCGCAACAAAATACATGTAACAAATTGTTCGGTGTATTGAAGCAGTGACCAAAAATACCCTGTTCCTAATCCTAGCCCACTCCCCCTCCCCAAACAAACCTCCAGGATATCAAATGTAGGTCCTTTGTTAGAGTTCAAATAAACAATGTTCAAACACGTTAGGCATAGTTCCTTGTCGACATGCAATGATATCGTGTCATAAATTAGGTATATGTTACAAGTAACTGTTTAGCGCGGGTCACTTCAACCTACAATCAAATCAAATACACTGACGTCCAAAAGAAACTTTACCAACTGAAAATATAAATTTCAGACAAAGTATAATTTTTTTTTCGATGAAGTCTATCTAAAACACATAACCTAAATACAACAATAGTGTATGCAGAAAATGTTAATAGTCTGTTACATGTTTGCGAGATAACACGCGAAAAAGTGAAAAACACGTGCACCACGGACAACTGCAAATGCACGTGCGGGTAAGGGTATAAAACAAGTAAGGGTATAAAACGATTTCAACGGCAAGTCAGACATCCACAGTCACTGTGATAAAAAAACACACAAAAGAAATGCCACGACTCACAGTCGAACAACGTGAACGAGCCTTGGGTATGGTACAGATGGGAGCCACCCACGCCCATATTGCACGAACCTTCGGTTGCTCCCGTGTTGCCGTTACAAACTTGAAGCAACGTTACAGACAGACAGGGCGGACCGCTGAAGGCCAAGAACAGGCAGACCCAGGTTGACCACGCCCCATGATGACCGGTACTTGCGTACCTTACACCTCCGAAATCGCTTCCTGACAGTGACGTCATCGGCGACAAATGCCTTAGGTCACAGGGTTAGTCGACAGACAGTGGCCAGGAGACTCAGGGCTCATGGAATCAGGGCTTTTAGACAATACAGAGGACAGGTATTGACAGCGCAACATCGTCGTCTACGATTGAGATGGGCCCGGACTGTAAGACGTTGGCAACGACGTGACTGGCAGAGGGTTGTCTCCACTGACGAAAGTCGATTCTGAATGTTTAGGGCTGATGGAAGACAACGTGTTGACCGCCGAAGGGGTGAACGAACGGCGGCGTGTTGCGTTCAGGAGGTCGTACCATATGGTGGAGGGAGTGTCCTTGTGTGGGGAGGGATCTGTGGGCAGGAGAGGACACCGCTGGTCATCGTTGACGGAAACTTGACAGCTCAGCGTTACATGGATAACATTCTTCGTCCAGTTGCCCTACCATTTCTCCAACAGAAGCCACGTGGTGTCATTTATCAGCATGACAACGCTAGAGCCCATACAGCCAGAATTGTCACTAACTTCCTCGCAGCCAACAACGTCAACGTCCTGCCGTGGCCTGCACGCTCACCCGACATGTCCCCCATAGAACACCTCTGGGACTTGATGGATCGTCGTGTTCGACAACGACCACACTCTCCAGCCAACCGGCAAGACCTGATCTTGGCCCTCCAAGAAGAATGGCGTCAAATCCCACGTGACCTCATCAGACGACTGACTTTTTCTGTGCGTCGAAGAGTTTTTGGCGTGTATTGAGGCATTTGGTGGTCACACGCGCTACTAATGACTTGTTATTGAACGTGAGCGATTGTTTATGTACTCTGCCTATTGTCCATGATTCTGATAGCTCGAGCTTTGTACCACACCCAACTTTGGGGGGCTCTGACGTCATTCTCGGTCGCGGTATGATTGTCATTTTCAGTGTTGATTATGTTGATATATTGATCTTCTCAATACACTTTACTTCATGCATGTATGTTTTGTTGTTTTTGAGCAAGAGTGATTTCAAACTCTGGTAAAGTTTCTTTTGGACGTCAGTTTACTACAAATTGGGTCAGGGCCGGCGAAAAGAAATGAAATAAAATATCAAGTGGGATATTTAATGCACTATTTGATGTAGCGAAAACCTTGTCCGAAGTGGTGATATTGAAATGATCAATCCTGGGAAAGTGTAGTGGTGGATGATCATGCACAAGTACACATGTGCGGTGTGCGGTGTGCGGTGTGCGGTGTGCGGTGTGCGTTTTCCCTCTACATGCAACAACTAACCAGTTGCGTAGCAGTTCTGTGTACAGATTTTATGTGTTATGTTATTCTATCCGCTATGAATAAAATAATTTAACTGCAGGGTGTCCTTGGTGGGAATGAGGATGCCTTTCACAAAATCATGAAACAGCACTGAATTCGCAGGTGTCGAAATATACATATTACAAGTTGATTAATGTCAATGTATTAAAACTGAAAAGCTTACGTATCTTAATGTTGCTGATAGATGATGTTTTTGTTTGTTAATTGTTTAACGTCGCACTCAGCAATATTCCAGCCATATGACGGCGGTCTAAATAATCGAGTCTGGACCAGACAATCCAGTGATTGACATCATGAGCATCGATCCACGCAGTTGGGATACGCTGACATGTATCATCAACAAAGTCAGCGAGCCTGACCACCCAATCCCGTTAGTCGCCTCTTACGACAAGCATAGTCGCCTTTTCAATAAGCATGGGTTGCTAAAGACTGTCATACTGGCCCACCGATGCGGGGTTTCCTAACATGAATCAAAGCACCCATGTGTGGTGTCGTCACTACTGTAATATGTTTGCACTTACTTTAAATATTGAGGTTCAGCATTGAACATGTTCCTAATTTGTTAACACATTAAACACATCGTACTTGTATCTAGATAGCATAATCGTAATATCTTGCTAAATTCGACATAAAATGTGTAAAATATGTAACACTCACCTGAAATGAAAAGCGTTTCACGATTAAGTTAAGTGTGTACGCCGATGTGTGTATGTTGACACACTGCATGTATTGCAACGCGCAGACCAATGACATTAAAAACTTGACGCGTTATCTATATATAAATGTTCGATTGTTCGGTGTACTTTCCAAGTAAGAAATTTCAGCAGGTCACAACAACCTACAATCAATTCAATTATAGCAACATGCTACGCAACCATTGTCCGATACGTGGTGATATTGAAAGGTTCCTTTCTGGGGAAATGTAGTGGTGCTATTAACTGATATGACCATGCACATTGAAGTATAATACCTGTATTGAAGCATATACCTGCGTTGTGGACAATCAATAGCTAGCAGTTCTTATGACTTCCTCTATGTATTGTGATTTTATTCTATCCGCTGTGAATCATTTAACGTTGCTGACGTTAGAAACATGATCAATGGCGGTTGAAAAAGCCTTAGGGGAATTTTGAAAATCGTCATTGTTAATACATGAAACATGGTGTCCTAAAATGGCCATGCTGCTTTTTTTACAAGATATTGAAATAGCACTGAATTGTCGGAATATACGAGTCATATTACAAGTTGCCACATACTAAATATATAATGTTAGTGCAGTTAAAATGAATAGACCTACATGACCTAATCATTTTCGGACAGTAAAGTTATCGTATGACACAACTGAAAATCTATCGCCCATTTCATTTTCTGCTTTCCTTTACGACTTGGAAAGTGTTCTTTAAGATAAAAACCCTTAAAAACCCTTAAGTGTAACAGTGACGACATATTTCTCTATGTGCAACTTTTAGTATTATTGTATGCTAATGATACTGTACTTTTTGCAGAAAGTAAAACCCAGTTTCAGAACACGATTGACACGCTACTGTTGTGTATAATATTGACAAAACGAAAATAATTATTTTTGGATCAGGACCCGCACAAAGGAGAAATTTTGGCCGGCAATAAAAAAAGAAAATGGATAGTTATAAGTTATTGGGAATAACATTTGATAGGAATGGGAGAATGATTGGGTGCTTAAAATATACTGCCGACATTGGCATGAAAGCTTCAATGACACTACTGAAACGAGACAGAAATTTGCAATTTCCTCTCGACTGTCTAGTTTCTACTTTTGATATTAATCGGACCTTTTCTACTTTACGCTTGTGAAGTGTGGTGCTGTGAAATAGCAGATATAATAGAGCGCGTTCACCTGAAGTTCCTAAATGTGGCTACGTATACGGGTATACATTAATACACCAACCTATATGGAGCACGGTGAATCGGTAATAGAACCACTAAGCATTATAATTGCTAAACGTGCCATATCATACTGGTGCAAGTAAGGATTACCTAATCCTTAAAAGATTGCATCGTTAGCGCTGAAATATATGACGGAACGCAACAAACTTGGTAATTTGTATCCCTGGTTAAACCCATATTAAACACATCTTATATAGTTTGGCCTACCTTAAGATTTTTGAGAACGCTAGTGAATATAATAGAAATTGGATTGTGAAAAGAGCACACACATATAAGTTGAAAGAGGTCTTAAAGATCATTTTTTTCACTCATGGAGAAGTGATGCCCAAACCTCACATAAAGCGAGGTATTATAGTCTCTTTACAGATTCCCCGTACTTCTTCCAGATCATCAGTTCTAAACTTTTACTGTATTTTGGAACTGATGATCACAAACTACCAATAGAAACAGGCCGATGGGAAAATATATCAGGAGTACAAAGAATGTGTATATCGTGTGACTCCAAAGTTACAGGAGACGAATTCTGCTATTTGTTCAGATGTAATTCACTTTAAACCTTACGCACTGAATGTATTAATGAATACTGCAAACAATTGCCAAACGTAATCACATATCTTTCGCTGTTCACAAATGATAAATAATCTACATTACAAAACTATACTGAGACACATTCTACAACATATACCAATTTGCTGTATTATTGTTAATTTTGTTATTCATGTCATTGAATAACTCATGTACCAGCGATGGTGGTTATCGAGTAATATTAGATAGCTACGATAAATCGCAAAGAACAATAAAGAACGAAGCGTGGTGTAATTAAATGTAATAGAATGCTTGTACGGGCTCATGAACGTTCCCCTCATCACGTGGTGTCTCCTATGCGTTCCCCTAACCATGTGGTGTCTCCTGTAAGTTCCCTTCATCACGTAGTGTCTCCTGTACGTTCCCCTCATCACGTGGTGTCTCCTATGCGTTCCCCTAACCATGTGGTGTCTCCTGTAAGTTCCCTTCATCACGTAGTGTCTCCTGTACGTTCCCTTCATCACGTAGTGTCTCCTGTAAGTTCCCTTCATCACGTAGTGTCTCCTGTACGTTCCCTTCATCACGTGGTGTCTCCTACGCGTTCCCCTAACCATGTGGTGTCTCCTGTAAGTTCCCTTCATCACGTAGTGTCTCCTGTACGTTCCCCTCATCACGTAGTGTCTCCTGTACGTTCCCCTCATCACGTAGTGTCTCCTGTACGTTCCCCTCGTCACGTAGTGTCTCCTGTAAGTTCCCTTCATCACGTGGTGTCTCCTGTAAGTTCCCTTCATCACGTGGTGTCTCCTGTACGTTCCCCTCATCACGTAGTGTCTCCTGTAAGTTCCCTTCATCACGTGGTGTCTCCTGTAAGTTCCCTTCATCACGTGGTGTCTCCTGTGCGTTCCCCTCATCACATGGTGTCTCCTGTAAGTTCTCTTCATCACGTGGTGTCTCCTGTGCGTTCCCCTAACCATGTTGTGTCTCCTGTACGTTCCCCTCATCACGTAGTGTCTCCTGTAAGTTCCCTTCACCACGTAGTGTCTCCTGTAAGTTCCCTTCATCACGTAGTGTCTCCTGTAAGTTCCCTTTATCACGTGGTGTCTCCTGTACGTTCCCCTCATCACGTAGTGTCTCCTGTAAGTTCCCTTCATCACTTGGTGTCTCCTGTACGTTCCTTTCATCACATGGTGTCTCCTGTGCGTTCCCCTAACCATGTGGTGTCTCCTGTACGTTCCCCTCATCACGTAGTGTCTCCTGTAAGTTCCCCTCATCACGTGGTGTCTCCTGTAAGTTCCCTTCATCACTTGGTGTCTCCTGTACGTTCCCTTCATCACATGGTGTCTCCTGTGCGTTCCCCTAACCATGTGGTGTCTCCTGTAAGTTCCCTTCATCACGTAGTGTCTCCTGTAAGTTCCCTTCATCACGTAGTGTCTCCTGTAAGTTCCCTTCATCACGTGGTGTCTCCTGTAAGTTCCCCTCATCACGTGGTGTCTCCTTTACGTTCCCCTCGTCACGTAGTGTCTCCTGTAAGTTCCCTTCATCATGTGGTGTCTCCTGTAAGTTCCCTTCATCACATGGTGTCTCCTGTAAGTTCCCTTCATCACGTGGTGTCTCCTGTACGTTCCCCTCATCACGTAGTGTCTCCTGTAAGTTCCCTTCATCACTTGGTGTCTCCTGTACGTTCCCTTCATCACATGGTGTCTCCTGTGCGTTCCCCTAACCATGTTGTGTCTCATGTACGTTCCCCTCATCACGTAGTGTCTCCTGTAAGTTCCCTTCATCACGTAGTGTCTCCTGTAAGTTCCCTTCATCACGTAGTGTCTCCTGTAAGTTCCCTTTATCACGTGGTGTCTCCTGTACGTTCCCCTCATCACGTAGTGTCTCCTGTAAGTTCCCTTCATCACTTGGTGTCTCCTGTACGTTCCCTTCACCACGTGGTGTCTCCTGTGCGTTCCCCTAACCATGTGGTGTCTCCTGTACGTTCCCCTCATCACGTAGTGTCTCCTGTAAGTTCCCTTCATCACGTAGTGTCTCCTGTAAGTTCCCTTCATCACGTAGTGTCTCCTGTAAGTTCCCTTCATCACGTGGTGTCTCCTGTAAGTTCCCTTCATCACGTGGTGTCTCCTGTACGTTCCCCTCGTCACGTAGTGTCTCCTGTAAGTTCCCTTCATCACGTGGTGTCTCCTGTGCGTTCCCCTAACCATGTGGTGTCTCCTGTAAGTTCCCTTCATCACGTAGTGTCTCCTGTAAGTTCCCTTCATCACTTGGTGTCTCCTGTACGTTCCCTTCACCACGTGGTGTCTCCTGTGCGTTCCCCTAACCATGTGGTGTCTCCTGTACGTTCCCCTCATCACGTAGTGTCTCCTGTAAGTTCCCTTCATCACGTAGTGTCTCCTGTAAGTTCCCTTCATCACGTGGTGTCTCCTGTAAGTTCCCTTCATCACGTGGTGTCTCCTGTACGTTCCCCTCGTCACGTAGTGTCTCCTGTAAGTTCCCTTCATCACGTGGTGTCTCCTGTAAGTTCCCTTCATCACGTGGTGTCTCCTGTACGTTCCCCTCATCACGTAGTGTCTCCTGTAAGTTCCCTTCATCACGTGGTGTCTCCTGTAAGTTCCCTTCATCACGTGGTGTCTCCTGTACGTTCCCCTCGTCACGTAGTGTCTCCTGTAAGTTCCCTTCATCACGTGGTGTCTCCTGTAAGTTCCCTTCATCACGTGGTGTCTCCTGTACGTTCCCCTCATCACGTAGTGTCTCCTGTAAGTTCCCTTCATCACGTGGTGTCTCCTGTAAGTTCCCTTCATCACGTGGTGTCTCCTGTGCGTTCCCCTCATCACATGGTGTCTCCTGTAAGTTCTCTTCATCACGTGGTGTCTCCTGTGCGTTCCCCTAACCATGTTGTGTCTCCTGTACGTTCCCCTCATCACGTAGTGTCTCCTGTAAGTTCCCTTCACCACGTAGTGTCTCCTGTAAGTTCCCTTCATCACGTAGTGTCTCCTGTAAGTTCCCTTTATCACGTGGTGTCTCCTGTACGTTCCCCTCATCACGTAGTGTCTCCTGTAAGTTCCCTTCATCACTTGGTGTCTCCTGTACGTTCCTTTCATCACATGGTGTCTCCTGTGCGTTCCCCTAACCATGTGGTGTCTCCTGTAAGTTCCCTTTATCACGTGGTGTCTCCTGTACGTTCCCCTCATCACGTAGTGTCTCCTGTAAGTTCCCTTCATCACGTGGTGTCTCCTGTAAGTTCCCTTCATCACGTGGTGTCTCCTGTACGTTCCCCTCGTCACGTAGTGTCTCCTGTAAGTTCCCTTCATCACGTGGTGTCTCCTGTAAGTTCCCTTCATCACGTGGTGTCTCCTGTACGTTCCCCTCATCACGTAGTGTCTCCTGTAAGTTCCCTTCATCACGTGGTGTCTCCTGTAAGTTCCCTTCATCACGTGGTGTCTCCTGTACGTTCCCCTCGTCACGTAGTGTCTCCTGTAAGTTCCCTTCATCACGTGGTGTCTCCTGTAAGTTCCCTTCATCACGTGGTGTCTCCTGTACGTTCCCCTCATCACGTAGTGTCTCCTGTAAGTTCCCTTCATCACGTGGTGTCTCCTGTAAGTTCCCTTCATCACGTGGTGTCTCCTGTGCGTTCCCCTCATCACATGGTGTCTCCTGTAAGTTCTCTTCATCACGTGGTGTCTCCTGTGCGTTCCCCTAACCATGTTGTGTCTCCTGTACGTTCCCCTCATCACGTAGTGTCTCCTGTAAGTTCCCTTCACCACGTAGTGTCTCCTGTAAGTTCCCTTCATCACGTAGTGTCTCCTGTAAGTTCCCTTTATCACGTGGTGTCTCCTGTACGTTCCCCTCATCACGTAGTGTCTCCTGTAAGTTCCCTTCATCACTTGGTGTCTCCTGTACGTTCCTTTCATCACATGGTGTCTCCTGTGCGTTCCCCTAACCATGTGGTGTCTCCTGTAAGTTCCCTTTATCACGTGGTGTCTCCTGTACGTTCCCCTCATCACGTAGTGTCTCCTGTAAGTTCCCTTCATCACTTGGTGTCTCCTGTACGTTCCTTTCATCACATGGTGTCTCCTGTGCGTTCCCCTAACCATGTGGTGTCTCCTGTAAGTTCCCTTCATCACGTGGTGTCTCCTGTGCGTTCCCCTAACCATGTGGTGTCTCCTGTAAGTTCCCTTCATCACGTGGTGTCTTCTGTGCGTTCCCTTAACCATGTGATGTCTCATGTACGTTCCCTCACCACGTGGTGTCTCCTGTACGTTACCTCACCATGTGGTGTCTCCTTACGCTCCCCTAACCAAGTGGTGCCTCCTGTACGTTCCCTCACCAAGTGGTGTCTCCTGTACGTTACCTCACCACGTGGTGTCTCCTGTACGTTACCTCACCATGTGGTGTCTCCTGTACGTTCCTCTCACCACGTGGTGTCTCCTGTACGTTACCTCACCACGTGGTGTCTCCTGTACGTTACCTCACCATGTGGTGTCTCCTGTACGTTCCTCTCACCACGTGGTGTCTCCTGTACGTTACCTCATCACGTGGTGTCTCCTGTACGTTCCCCTATCCACGTGGTGTCTCCTGTATGTTCCCCTCATCACGTGGTGTCTCCTGTACGTTACCTCACCACACGGTGTCTCATGTACGCTACCTCACCACGTGGTGCCTCCTGTACGTTACCTCATCACGTGGTGTCTCCTGTATGTTACCTCACCACGTGGTGTCTCCTGTACGTTACCTCACCATGTGGTGTCTCCTGTACGTTCCTCTCACCACGTGGTGTCTCCTGTACGTTACCTCACCACGTGGTGTCTCCTGTACGTTACCTCACCATGTGGTGTCTCCTGTACGTTCCTCTCACCACGTGGTGTCTCCTGTACGTTACCTCATCACGTGGTGTCTCCTGTACGTTCCCCTATCCACGTGGTGTCTCCTGTATGTTCCCCTCATCACGTGGTGTCTCCTGTACGTTACCTCACCACACGGTGTCTCATGTACGCTACCTCACCACGTGGTGCCTCCTGTACGTTACCTCATCACGTGGTGTCTCCTGTATGTTACCTCACCACGTGGTGTCTCCTGTACGTTACCTCACCACGTGGTGTCTCCTGTATGTTACCTCATCACGTGGTGTCTCCTGTACGTTCCCCTCACCACGTGGTGTCTCCTGTGATTCCCCTAACCAAGTCCACCTCACCACTCCATCAAGGGGCGATGTTTATCGGAAGCTTTCAGATTATATATGTGCCCATGTACTTTGTACCGTTTTACATTCCTTGCAAGTATTTATAACTGTTTTCTGTCATCAGGATATTATGATGTTTTAGATGTAATCTATAAAAGTACAGGCAAAGAGCAATTATTTCTCAATTGTTTACTTTTTTTTGTATTCGAAGTAGTTTGTCTCTTGAGCAGCAAGTCATGTGTTCTGCAAGGATTCACACGATGTGTTTACCCCAGCAACACCGCGGCTGTTAATAATAAGTCTGGGCCAAGCAAACCATAGGTTGATAGCATGAGCAACTTTCGTTGCGTTGACACACTGCCAGTAAGATATCGTAACCACCCGTTTCTTAATAATAGTACTTCTTCTATTACTAGGTGGTAAATACGACAAATGTTGGTTGTTGGGAACTCTTTCAGATCCGTAGCTGGATTACTGCTGACTGAGGTTTACATCATTCACTGATTGGATAGTTTCGATATTGTTTTCCGGATATGAGTTCTTACACGATTCGCTGGTGTAAAAACACACTTAAAGTTACAACTAAAGATTCTAATAAACACTGAAAAATCATTCAAGCCGTTTTAATCATATTCTCCGGATTTTCGTCACTGGTTCCAGTGTAAAAGAACACTGATGTAGAATGTCCGTAAATAGGCTATGACCGAGGTGTAGCCTTATTTCAAAATCAGCCATCCGTGGCCAAACAAAATCTCCATCAAACAAACTGAAGTGTTTTGAGGACAGAGTTTGACCACAATACACCTGTACTCGTTGTAATGAGACTTTCAAGCGAGCCGGGGTCCATGAATCATTTAATGTACGAGATTTTACTAGCGCTTCATTTACTTTTAACTGGTTTGAGTGCCGAGGTGGGAGTGAAGGCAAAATTAACCGGGCTAAGTGCGCTTTGCCTTCTGGTCTCTGATTACAGTAATAGGAGAGTAGCTAAAACAACACTTTGGCAAGATACGGACCAGATGCGTAGACTGCCAATTAAGTCGGCTGCGACCAATTAACACCTGAGTCAATTAACTCCACACTCTAATGAGTGAAATAGTTTGAGCCTTTGCCATTGAAGACCAACTCGTTCCATCCATCCATTTATCATAGCTCACGGAAAGATGCGAGTGTTGACGAATGAGACTGGGAATGTGCTTTTCGCAACATATATCTGGTACCAGTTTAAGGGCTTTGCAAAGGGCGAATAACTCTAAATCACGCTCGTGGGTAAACAACGACATGTGAGCTCTGACTGAATTACAAATGTCTTAATCAACGTAAGTGGTAAATTGAGACAATGGAGATGACACTTTATGTACTGATAAGAGTTATATTTTGAGCTGTATTCTTTAGTTTGATCTCGTGGAGTCATACTGCTGATTAATATACTAGGCCTATTTGGAGCCTATTGATCGATAATCACTGGTAGCACGAGTCGATCATTGCCCTCATGTGACAAATATATTTACTACGATCGTCTGAATGTAGTGGATATGTGAAAGTAATGATCTTGTTCGATTGCAAGTAACAAGTGATACATTGTTTGTTCAGATCAACCAGAAGGTTTAATAGGATGCCTAATACTGCGGCCATACTGCAACATTGGCCATAACACTTTTATCTTTATTACTGTACAGTAGTTGACAACAATTGTTATGAGCATTAATTGATATCCGAGACAATCTGTATGATTTCCACTGAAGTAGGTTTTGCGTAATAAATTAAGTATTATTCATATTGAAACATCTATAGATATTCTAAATCACAAATATATTCATCAAATTGAAAATCATAATATTTTGCAAGATTTTATCCTTCATTAAGAAAAATTAATTTCATCTTTCTGTCCCCAGCATGTCAGACATGTTTTCCACCCCAGACATGGGCCACTTAGGTAGCTCAGACTACAACCATGTTTACGAGCCTGCCGAAGACTCCTTCCTCTTCCTGGATGCCTTGGAGCAAGAACATGATTTCCTTGCTAAGCTGAGGTACACCAACCTGATCACCTAGCTGAGCAGAAATATTCATTTGCCTTGTTTATATCCATTGTGGCACATTGCTATGCTGATCTACTATCGACGGTCATACAGGTCGAAAAAAGCCCCGTGTTAGCAAGCCACCTCTGTCTGTGACAGAGTGTAAACACATCACTTGTACAATGTACTACTTTATGAAACACAACATCTGGCTTTTTGCATATAGCGATGTTTTTATGTAGATTCTTACACTGTTATCAAGCTGGAGTGACAACAAACAAGTGATGAGAGGTATATATGCATGACATGTTGTGATAAGGAACAGATTAACATTGACAACAACAGGTAATAGATAACATGTAGCATACAGATAATTGGATGAAGCCAAATGTACAGTGTATACGATATTCAATATATGATTCCACGAATAAATGATGTTATCTAAACTCATTTTACCACATTGGATTGATATTAACGATTGATTTTAGAAATGTTTATTTTGAAACTTTTCATTTACCTAAGAATATACTTCAAGTTACTGATGATTTCAGGCCAACAGTGTGCCTGGAGATTGGATCAGGATCTGGAGTGTGCATCACCTTCCTGGCCAGGATGCTGGGCTCCTCCAGTGTGTACATGTGAGTCTTCAGCAGCTTTCATTTACTTCATAAATTCCGCCCCCCCCCAGCCTACAATAAATTACCAGTCATGAGATAATGTTCAAATTTGTAACTTGTTTATTTGAAAAAAATAGAATGGTCATATTTTCATACCCTCCCCATATAGTTGTGATAAGTGTTTGGTGACCCCACTTCTTCCCTTACTATGTCTTAGGGGCGGTCGGGTAGCCTAGTGGTTAAAGCGTTCGCTCATCACGCCGAAGACCCAGGTTAGATTCCCGATATGGGCACAATGCGTGAAGCCCATTTCTGGTGTCCCCCGCCGTGATATTGCTGGAATATTGCTAAAAGCAGCGTAAAACCATACTCACTCACTCATAAAGGGCCCAGAGGTCAATGTGATCAAAGACACTGTCACTGCACCTGTCAGCTGTGCCTAGCTCTGTAAGCCATGGGTTTGAATCCCAAGAAACAGGAATAACCTCAACATGCTCAAGCATTAAGAAAACAGGTGTTAGTGGAGACTTATTTTTGTTTCTTTGTTGTTTAATATGACACTCGCAATATTCCACCTGATAAGCTGGTGATTGATGACATACTGATGAACAATCCATGCCATCAGAGTATGTTAACACACAATCAACCTGACACCTGATCCATTAAGTCGCCTCTTACAATCAGTATAGGTTGCTTGGGACCAGTTCTACCACAGAATCCCCACAAGGTCGATGTCTTAAAGGGAAAGTGTACACGCAAAAATCACTTTCTTTCTTTTTCTAAACAAAACGCAATTTTAGAATTAGTTAGTATCTGTGTTTGAAAATATAAAGTGATTTTTTTCACAGTGAAAGTAGGAAGCTCAAAATAGTGTGAAAATGCTATGCCGTTATGAGGCCTTCGTTTTTCGAGCTAAACAGGCCAGAGTTATCCCCCTTAGATTATGACGTAATTGGTGCCAATTCAACTGGGTCCCTGTCTATTCTCAACGCAAAAGATATCAACTACCAGTTTGCGGTAAAACAACATGGCCTACGACACATTCCGGCGCAGTGGTGACTCAGCATAACACTAGACTGGCTGGCATCTGAGACTCTAGAATCACACACCTGTACCTACACCACGTGAAGCGGCTCTAACAAAGCATGATGACGTCATAATGTTTATCAATTGGCACCAATGACGTCATATTGCAAGGGGCATAAGCCATGGTGTTTTTGTTCTGGAAATAGAACACTTGGTAAATGTGAAAAATATAAATCGTTTTAATGCAAAAAATATGTTAATTAATTGTGATATTTTTATATTTTTGTCTATGACACTACTACGTTAACACTTTTAATGTGCAAAAAGTACAAGAAAAATAGGTTCATTTCCTTGTGAACTTGCCCTTTAACAATGTGCATGGGTATTTTTGGTCTCTGAATGTATTAGCCGCTAGGCCATAGTAAGTAGCAGTGATGAACTAACCTGTCTGCCCTGTAAACCTTACTGTACACAGGCATCAAGCGTTGATTTAAGACCCGTGAATGCACTGATATAACAAAAAAACTGGGCAGTGTACAACATGTCCATAGGTATACCTATGCTGCTCTATGACTCATATGGGGTGGTCGGGTAGCCTAGTCACTCAATGACTCGTATAATGTATTCTTTGGTAAAAGAAGACTTTGGTCACAAGTATGATACTTTCTGTGTATAATTATTTCACGTGCGAATGAAGGGCTGTTCAGTTTACAGTGCAGATACCCATGTAACAACAGGTATTTAAACACCAACAATTACATTGTCAAACAACGTTTTCTACTTTTTCTACTCTTTTTCTACTCATCATGACACGAGTTGATAAAAGTGGAAAAATTCCAAGGCCGAGGATTTTTGCCTCTTTTATCAACGAGTGTTGATATATTTGATATCAAAAGACTCAAGGGTGAGATTTTATTTATCATCCAACATTATTCTTCCAACTTTTTCAATTTGTAGATAGTAATTAGCAGTGTCTTCAGTGTAAAAAGTAAAACAGTGTAAAACAGCTTCAATAGCAGAGCCATTAGGGATGTCATTTGATTGTGACGTCATGTAACCAGTGACGTCACAATGGTCTGCAAAGCATTGTGATGCAATGTCTTTGCAGCGATATCTACAGTGTAGATATCGCTTGATATCTTCTGTGGGAGCCAGTTTTGGATGATAAATATATATAGTACATTGGATCCATGTATTGCACAGGCTGATGATGAATCCAAGCAATGCTCGCAATACACGAATGCATGTAGATCTTTTAACCATGAAATGTTGCAAACCTGTCCTGGGCACACCTATTTTATCCATCAAGGCAAGACACTGCCCAGTAATGAAATCTCATTAATATATATATTGGTTATAGGCCTTACTTCAAGGTATATAATTTAGATAGTGATTTCAAGGTTCAAGTTTTTCTGTTGGTCTATATCCGGGATCAGCCTGTATCCCACAATAGACATAATGTAATTTTCTCTTACCTCAATATGTGTTCAGTAACATACAACATGGATTACCTCCCTTAGACCAGTAACAAAGACGATGGTGTCATGATGTTGTAGGAGCACCGACATCAATGTGAGGGCAGCCTGCATCACGAGGGACACAGCGTATAGGAACTCTGTCATGGTGGAGCCTGTTGTTACAGATCTGGTATGTTGTGGTGGTTATTGAAGTTCAGGGAACCACAAATTTTGGAACTTACGGAACACGTTACATTTGGGATAACACTTTCTGGGTAAAGTACAGATTCTAGTACTGTTTTAGGTTGAGTCCCATCCGGGATTCTAACCCACCCTGCCAGAGTGAGGCACCTAATCACCTAAACCCACAGTGTGGGTTCGAATCCTGGATGGCACTCAACCAAAAACAGTACTAGAATCTGTACTTTACCTGGAAAGTTTTATCCCAAATTTAACATTTGTGACATTTGACCACTTTCTAAATGGCAATGTGTGTTTATTATGTAACACAAGTTCGGAAATTCACATGTTTGCGAAATAATGTTTTTATACTATGTCAAAAAAATATATCTTTAGCGTGTTTATGATTCTAATTGTTGCATGCTTGATACGAGGAAGAGTTGGTGCTAACTTACAATAACACTGGGAAGGTTATTTATACGTTTAACAGAACTAAGGAGATGATCCAACACTATTCTGATGGGGTTTTGGTCTTCATTATTTACAGGCAACTGTGGTATTATAACTGGAATATTGCAGACTGCAGCAGTAAAATAAACATGCACTCAGATGGGATTTAAGACCACTGACCACAAATTCCAAGTCAGTGATTATATTTGTCATTGAAATGGTATGCCAAGATACACAGAACACAATAAAAAAGAAGTGCCATTGCCATACTCTTGATCAATAATGAAAATAGTCACAATAAAATATTTGACTGAACATGCTAAAAAGGTGGTCAATTATTCTTTCAGGTGAACTCCCTTGCATCCCGCCTTGCTGGCTGCGTTGATGTGTTGCTTTTCAACCCACCATATGTAGTCACCCCCAGTCAAGAGGTAGGGAGCTGTTGTCAACTCTTATGTATGTAGTCACCCCCAGTCAAGAGGTAGGGAGCTGCTGTCAACTCTTATGTATGTAGTCACCCCCAGTCAAGAGGTAGGGAGCTGCTGTCAACTCTTATGCATGTAGTCACCCCCAGTCAAGAGGTAGGGAGCTGCTGTCAACTCTTATGTATGTGGTCACCCCCAGTCAAGAGGTAGGGAGCTGCTGTCAACTCTTATGTATGTAGTCACCCCCAGTCAAGAGGTAGGGAGCTGCTGTCTACTCTTATGTATGTAGTCACCGCCAGTCAAGAAGTAGGTAGCTGCTGCCAACTCTTATGTATGTAGTCACCCCCAGTCATATATGTAGTCACGTCATGTCAAGGAGTAGAGTGTTATTACCAACTCTCCATATGTAGGTTTGTCTTGTGAAGCATAGGGTGTTGCTCATCACTCAATCTCATTCAGACTTCTTGACAAAGATCTGAGGACATCCCATTACGGGGTAATGTCAGAACGACCTTTCACCTGACCAATCAGAGTGTTGCTTACCAGATTGTGAAAGTGACAATCAGAATGTGTTTTGTAATATTGCACACTCAAAAGGTTAACACAGGGTATTCGGGTACATGGTTGATGAATTCCTTCTTATTATATTGTGTAGAATAAGTTACATTAAAATAAAACAAATATCTGCCAAATAAATCTGCAGAAACCATTCATTTTCTTGACATTTCAAGTTATTAAGTTAAAATTTCAAGATGCTATGCTTAAAATTTAAGATACTAAGTTGAAAAAAGCCAAATGGCCCTAAAAGGCTGACGTGCTCCAGGACTATAACACATGGATACATTCCCATGGCTCTCATGATCTCAAATTACCCGCCCTTGATTTTCATTGGCCAATTAGATTGGGACATTGCTCAGTCTAATGGACCAATCAGAATGTGAGTTACAAACCAGTCTCAATGCTGGGTTGGCGATATCAACAATATTGTGGTCAGTCAGATTTATTACTTTAGAGTTTGTGAGAAATTCAACCTTGAAAAACTTACTGACATGCACAAAAAGGAGAAGATTATTGTATATTTGACTACAAGATCTGATTTTTATGAGGTTGGTGTTTATTGTGCCTGTTCTGTGTTCACAGGTGGGCAGTAAAGGCATTGAGGCATCATGGGCAGGAGGTATCAGAGGCCGCGAGGTTGTGGACAGGTTATTTCCCTTGATTCCATCAATTTTGTCACCAGAGGGCGTCTTCTACCTCGTCATTATCAAGGAAAATGATCAAGGTGATGACAGGCTTGTACATATACAGACACACTCTACATCTGATTCATGCTTATCGCTGTTCTAGTGGGCATACACCTTTAATCTTATATTCAACATCATGAGGATTGTTTGTAAGTGGGGCGGTGGGGTAGCCTTGTGGTTAAAAAGAAAACTCACTCACTCGTTTGTAGGTGAGGTGGAATGGGGTTTTGTGTGTGTGTGTGTGTGTGTGTGTGTGTGTGTGTGTGTGTGTGTTTCTTTGTGTGTGAGTGTGTGTGTGTGTGTTTCTTTGTGTGTGAGTGTGGCTGCTTGTACTAGTCTGGACTAATGCCGATTTATAGTGCTAGCTCACTGAGATACCATGCTGCAGTTTAACATGAATACCCCACTCAGACACAGTATACTGACTCTGTGCCGAACCAGTCCTTGTTTTAGCCCCTTAATGCCAAGCGCCAGAAAGGGTTATAATAAGTACCATCTTTTAACGTCTTTTGGTATGACACGGTCGGGGATCGAACCCGGACCTTCCGCTCTCTGGGTGGACGCTCTACCGCTAGACCACGGGGGTGGTCCAGTTGTTTGTAAGTGAGCAACACACAGTGCTCGGGAGTGGTAAACATCATGCACCAATTGTTTCTCAGATGTCTGAGATATTGTTTAAAGCCACATAAACACAGAACTGCTTTGCTGTGAGGACAAAGGTCAAGGTCAGGATGTGATTCCTTCCAGGAGGATGTTGGTGTAGGATGAAGACATCGATATGTTTCATTGAGAATCATTGTGTGATGTTTATGACTGCAAACAGCTACTCACTCTTGGGACTGATCTAGACTAACATTTACTCTATGGAATCTTGTATTACACAATACTCTTCTTGCCTCTAAAATTAAACAAATAATTTTTCTGATGCTGATGTGGAATAGAGCTTGCTAGAGCTGGCTAGAATTGCTTTTGTATACACATCTAGATTTGTTATTTTCATAAAATAAATATATTCCATGGTCATGGTGCAGGACTAGGGACTGACCGCTCAACAAATGGCAATCATGAAAAGACAATGTTGTTAAGAAAGTGGTCAATGTGACATATGTTAAACAGTGTATTTTGGATTACACTTTCTAAGTAAAGACAAATTCTTGTATGTTTATGGGTGGAGTCCCATCTGGGTTTCGAGGGCACTGGTAGGTAATCTAGATCATGTACCTTATGTAGTTGTCAAACGTCCATTTCTGTGGAAGCCTCATTGGCTGAGTGTAAGACCACTGGTATGTAATCTAGATCATGTACCTTGTGTAGTTGTCAAACGTCCATTTCTGTGGAAGCCCAGTTGGCTGAGTGGGTTGTGTTGCTGACTTTGTCTGCTGGTAATTAGGTGCCTGCTCTGAGAGTGTGGGTTCAAATCCGGGATGGGACTCAACCCCCAAAGTACTGGAATTTACTGGAATGGCAACCCAATTGTCTTTTCATGAGAAAAGCTTTTTTGTTTTTTCAAACTTAATACCGGTCACATTTGAACAACACAACTGACACTCACAAGTCTGTCATTGATAGTTTGTGTATCTCATTCTAGGCAATGTAAAAACATTATGAAACTATCTGTATACTTGAACTACAGGAATAATGACTGACATATTTTTCAGATGAAATTGAGGATATCATGAAGAAAAATGGCTTCCAGATGGTTGTCGTGAAAAGTCGTCAGTCTGGCCCTGAGTTCCTCTCGGTGCTGAAATTCACATGGCTTCCTTCAGTCACATAACACAGGTTCCCCATGTTGAAGCAAACAATCAGTGTGTTCAGGACCTGGGATAGAGGATGTGCCTACAGCCTCCTGCATTGGAGATGCCACTTCATGGTTCCCGCAGGATTGACCTTCTGCTGAAGACATATATATGAGAATCCCTGCACTTTGAGGACAAAGAAGAATACAAATAAAATGAGCAGCAAAGCTGCAGTTAATATTATCGCTGTTTTATTTGGATATGAAACAAATGCTCAGAAATACAAACAATTACCTTACAACCTTTTTAAAGAATAAGATATACATCATATTAACTTTATTCTGATTAGTTTATGATTCTTTAGTCATTCAAATAACTCTTTTTATGAATTTTATGAAATTCCGATTTAATTTTATTTTCATTCTTTTTGCAATCTACAGAGACTTAACACTAGAATATATGATTGTTATTTAGTTGGGACACAATAAAGATACAAGTACAAAATAAGAAACTATCTATTCTAGAAAAAAAAGGGCTTGGGGATTTAGCATGGTAGAATGTGACATGTATTTGGGGGTAAGGTGAGTAGGGGCGGGGGCATAAGAGGTACTTAGCCTAGTGGTTAAAGCGTTTGCTCGTCACGCCGAAGACCCGGGTTCGATTCCCGACATGGGTACATTGTGTGAAGCCCATTTCGGGTGTCCCCCGCCGTGATATTGCTGGAATATTCCTAATAGCGACGTAAAACCAAACTCACTCACTTACTATGTCTTATTTACATGTTCATGCATTGTTGTTTTCCATTCTCAGAGATGTTAAACCTCACAATAGGTCTTAATGCCTATAGAAATAAGTCTCTTACTTAATAGCGATCCCAATGAATAGGTTTATAAAGGTGGGGAAAGAGTAGTTGTAGTTGGTGTAGTAGTGGTTGTAGTTGGGGTAACAGTTAAAAGTAGGGTAACAGTGGATATGGTAACACTGGTTAGAGGCGGGGAAAGAGTGGTTAAAGGTGGGGAAGGAGTAGTTGTAGTTGGTGTAGTAGTGGTTGTAGTTGGGGTAACAGTTGTTAAAAGTGGGGTAACAGTGGATATGGTAACACTGGTTGGAGGTGAGGAAAGAGTGGTTAAAGGTGGGGAAGGAGTAGTTGTAGTTGGTGTAGTAGTGGTTGTAGTTGGGGTTACAGTTAAAAGTAGGGTAACAGTGGATGTGGTAACACTGGTTAGAGGCGGGGAAAGAGTGGTTAAGTATTGGAGAAAACACTTTCCCTCGGTTTTGGTAGACAGAGCATGCCCTGGGGAGAGGGAAAAACCGAGGGAAAGTGTTTTTCCATGCTTATAAACAGAAAAAAAGAAACATTTATCAACATTTTTATGTTTCGAACATACTTTCCATGAACCTTAGGAAACGGGCGTAAAATATCTGTTGCTGGCATACGGATCTTGAAAAGGACATTCTAAAAACCAGTGAGTCTTATCAACACCTCTGTAGCCTTGTGGTACACTCACTGGGCTGCAGATATGAAGGTTGCGAGTTCGATCCTCGGGAATATAAAGAAAACATTTGTCATTTGATTTTACATTTCATTACATGTTACAATCTGAACGGAAGTTATATTAATAAAAATACCCGGGACATTATATAAAATCCCTGGGATATTATATAAAATCCCAGGGACATTACAACGTCCCTGTTAAGGAGATTTAACCCGACTGGAAAGTAAAACCTCACAATAGGTCTTAATGCCTATAGAAATAAGTCTCTTACTTAATAGCGATCCCAATGAATAGGTTTATAAAGGTGGGGAAAGAGTAGTTGTAGTTGGTGTAGTAGTGGTTGTAGTTGGGGTAACAGTTAAAAGTAGGGTAACAGTGGATATGGTAACACTGGTTAGAGGCGGGGAAAGAGTGGTTAAAGGTGGGGAAGAAGTAGTTGTAGTTGGTGTAGTAGTGGTTGTAGTTGGGGTAACAGTTGTTAAAAGTGGGGTAACAGTGGATATGGTAACACTGGTTGGAGGTGAGGAAATAGTGGTTAAAGGTGGGGAAAGTGGTTGTAGTAGTGGTTGGGTAACAGTTGTTAAAGGCAGGGTAACATTGGTTTAAGGCGAGGAACAATAGTTGTAGTTGGGGGAGTAGTGGTTGTAGTTGGGGTAACATTGGTTAAAGGCGGGTAACATTGGTTAAAGGCAGGGTAACATCGGTTAAAGGCAGGGTAACATTGGTTAAAGTCGGGGTAACAGTGGTTAAAGGTGGTGTAACGGTGGTTGTATTTTGGGAAACAGTTGTTAAAAGCGGGGTTACATTGCTTTAAGGAGGGGTAACATTGGTTAAAGTTGGGGTAACATTGGTTAAAGGTGGGGTAACATTGGTTAAAGGTGGGGTAACATTGGTTTAAGTCGGGGTAACATTGGTTAAAGGTGGTGTAACGGTGGTTGTATTTGGGGAAACAGTTGTTAAAAGCGGGGTTACATTGCTTTAAGGTGGGGTAACAGTGCTTTAAGGTGGGGTAACATTGGTTAAAGGCGGGGTAACATTGGTTAAAGGCGGGTAACATTGGTTAAAGGCAGGGTAACATCGGTTAAAGGCAGGGTAACAGTGGTTGTGGTTGGGGTAACAGTGGTTAAAGGTGGTGTAACTGGTTGTATTTGGGGAAACAGTTGTTAAAAGCGGGGTTTCAGTGCTTGAAGAGGGGGTAACAGTTGTTCAAGGCAGGGTAACATTGGTTAAAGTCGGGGTAACAGTTGTTCAAGGCAGGGTAACATTGGTTAAAGTCGGGGTAACATTGGTTAAAGTCGGGGTAACATTGGTTTAAGGCGGAGTAACATTGGTAAAAGGTGGGATAACATTGGTTTAAGGCGGGGTATTATTGGTTAAAGGCGGGGTAACATTGGTTAAAGGTGGGGTATTATTGGGTAAAGGCGAGGTAACATTGGTTAAAGTCGGGGTAACATTGGTTTAAGGCGGGGTAAATTGGTAAAAGGTGGGGTATCATTGGTTAAAGGCGGGGTATTATTGGTTAAAGGCGGGGTAACATTGGTTAAAGGTGGGGTATTATTGGGTAAAGGCGAGGTAACATTGGTTAAAGTCGGGGTAACATTGGTTTAAGGCGGGGTAAATTGGTAAAAGGTGGGGTATCATTGGTTAAAGGCGGGGTATTATTGGTTAAAGGCGGGGTAACATTGGTTAAAATCGCGGTAACATTGGGTAGAGGCGAGGTAACATTGGTTAAAGGCGGGGTAACATTGGTTTAAGGCGGGGTAACATTGGTTTAAGGCGGAGTAACATTGGTTAAAGGCTGGGTAACATTGGTTAAAAGCGGTGTAAATTGGTTTAAGGCCTGGTAAAATTGGTTTAAGGCGGGCTAACAGCGGTTGTATTTCGGGTAACAGTGATTGTAGACGGGGGCAACAGTGGTTGTAGTAACACTGGTTAAAGTCGGGGTAACAGTGGTTGTGGCTGGGGTAACATTGGTTGTAGACGGGTGAAATAGTGGTTAAGGGCGAGAGCTAAGCATTGCATGAATAAAAATCAATACTATTTCAACTAAGGCAAATGTTACTTCCGAATAACCAGCCGACGACTCTTCAGACATAAATGAACACCAAACCCCAAGGAACAACTGCAAAGTGAAATCTTCAAACAATATATGGATGTAAGGACACTTCCTGTGGTGCTCCTGTTTTAAGTGTGTTTAGAGGGCGTGTTCAGCAGTTACATTTCTCCTTTTTCGACACATTTCAAAAGCAGTATGTCGGAATGGCTCATACAAAAACATGTATATCACAATCTTGAAGAAATGGTATCCGAAGAGTAACGAGTTGAAGAACATCCACAAGATTTGAAATGGCCCGGTGTTTCGTCTGCAGGGCTCCAATGTTCCATACAATATGCGGAATATGTGTGTCAGAACGCTTGTCAGAATATAGCACAGAGAGGTTCCGCTGATGAATTTGGCTACCTTTACCTTGTCGTATAGATTAATGTTCGAGTTAGGAATAGGTTGGATCTTTCTCACATATTTCCAGATGTTGGTGTAACAGAACCCGTTTATAAAGGGGGATATTCCGTACACAGCGATATCACACAACAACCACGACCACACATTGGAGGGCGTGTACACGAGGATGATGTCACCGGATATCGGATTGATTCTGGTCATGAAGTTGGCCAGTCTCGTGAAAGGTAGGCTTAAGTTGACGATCCAGGAGATGACGATGAACAAGATGACATACACCCTTTTCATGCGTATCCTGTGCAAATTACTGTGGCACACTGCCATGTAAAGGTTGAGGCTTATTGCAGCAAACGTTATGATGGTCACGCCTATAAGTCCAGTGCTTCCAATATAACACGTGTGCTTTATATTCCTATATATATCTCGCTGGGATGCATTTTGAGGGAAAAACTGACACCCCACGGCGATGTAAAATAGGATATCGGCACATGTTTGACTGATTAGAAGTGTTCCTGTGTGAGAACGGAGGTATGTCGTCTTTCGTATGATGACAATTATCAAAATATTCTCTAATATTAGGATAACTGTAATGACGTACATACTCGTAGTTAGAACAGAGGCATACGACTGATCTGTTGCGGTACATGACGTTGTAGAAAACGGTTTTGTGGTGGTTATCCGGGTAGCAGCCGGCGTTGTAGTGGTCACCAAGGTAGCAGACGGTGTTGTAGTTGTCACCAGGGTAGCAGTCGGTGTTGTAGTGGTCACCAGGGTAGTAGACGGTGTTGTAGTGGTCACCAGGGTAGCCGACAGCGTTGTAGTGGTCACCAGGGTAGCAGATGGTGTTGTAGTTGTCACCAGGGTAGCAGACGGTGTTGTAGTGGTCACCAGGGTAGCAGATGGTGTTGTAGTGGTCACCAGTGTAGCAGACGGCGTTGTAGTTGTCACCAGGGAAGCAGACGGTGTTGTAGTGGTCACCAGGGTAGCAGACGGTGTTGTAGTGGTCACCAGGGCAGCAGTCGGCGTTGTAGTGGTCACCAGGGTAGCCGACAGCGTTGTAGTGGTCACCAGTGTAGCAGACGGCGTTGTAGTTGTCACCAGGGAAGCAGACGGTGTTGTAGTGGTCATCAGGGTAGCAGATGGTGTTGTTGTGGTCACCAGTGTAGCAGACGGCGTTGTAGTGGTCACCAGGGTAGCAGACGGTGTTGTAGTGGTCACCAGGGTAGCAGACGGCGTTGTAGTGGTTATCAGGGTAGCAGACGGCGTTGTAATGGTTATCAGGGT